GTAAAGAAGAATTGAACGAGTTAACCTTTGATTTATAGTTTATTATGTTCGATGTTTCCATTGGGAACACACATTTTTATTCGACTTAATTAATTTAATTTTACCATTTAACGCTAATTAATGATCTTTTAAAATTTATTTCAAATTAATCGTTTACTCTGGAAGCTAATAATTTGGGGTGAGTTAAGATCAAACGTTCTTTTATAACCTTAAAAAGTTTCGTTGTTTCAATATTAACCGTTTCGGAGAAAATAATTTTTTTATAACCGCACTTTTAAGAAACGTCAAATTTGATAGGTCATTTTTAAAAATTAATATCAAACGAATCGTTCACCTTGAAAGATTATAATTTGGTACAAATTAATCTCAAAGCTTCCTTTATAACCTCAAAAAGTTTCGTTGTTTCAATATTAATCGTTTGGGAGAAAATAATTTTTTTATAACACCACTTTTAAGAAACGTCAAATTTGATAGGTCATTTTTAAAAATTAATATCAAACGAATCGCTCACCTTGAAACATTATAATTTGGTACAAATTAATCTCAAAGCTTCCTTTATAAGCTCAAAAAGTTTCGTTGTTTCAATCTTAATCGTTTTCGAAAAAACGATTTTTTTATAACACCACTTTTAAGAAACGTCAAATTGAGTATGAGATTTTTAAAAATTAATATCAAACGAATCGTTTACTTTGAAAGGTTATAATTTGGTATAAATTAATCCCAAACGTTTCTTTATAACCTCAAAAAGTTTCGTTGTTTTAATCTTAACCATTTTCGAGAAAATAATTTTTTTATAACCACACTTTTAAGAAACGTCAAATTAAGTAGGAGATTTTTAAAAATTAATATCAAACTAATCCTTTACTTTGGAACATAATAATTCGGTATAAATTAATCCCAAACATTGAGTTATAACCTCAAAAAGTTTCATTGTTTCAATCTTAACCATTTTCAAAAAAATAATTTTTTTATAACCACACTTTTAAGAAACGTCAAATTTGATAGGTGATTTTTAAAAATTAATATCAATCGAATCGTTCACTTTGAAATATTATAATTTAGCATAAATTAATCCCAAACGTTCCTTTATAACCTCAAAAAATTTCATTCTTTCAATCTTAACCATTTCGGAGAAAACAATTTTTTTATAACCACACTTTTAAGAAACGTCAAATTTGATAGGTGATTTTTAAAAATTAATATCAAACGAATCTTTCACTTTGAAAGGTTATAATTTGGTATAAAATAATCTCAAACGTTCCTTTATAACCTCAAAAAGTTGCGTTGTTTCAATCTTAACCATTTCGGAGAAAATAATTTTTTTATAACCACACTTTTAAGAAACGTCAGATTTGATAGGTGATTTTTAAAAATTAATATCAAACGAATCGTTCACTTTGAAAGGTTATAATTTGGTATAAAATAATCTCAAGCGTTCCTTTATAACCTCAAAAAGTTTCGTTATTTCAATCTTAACCGTTTCGGAGAAAATAATTTTTTTATAACCACACTTTTAAGAAACGTCAGATTTGATAGGTGATTTTTAAAAATTAATATCAAACGAATCGTTCACTTTGAAAGGTTATAATTTGGTATAAAATAATCTCAAGCGTTCCTTTATAACCTCAAAAAGTTTCGTTATTTCAATCTTAACCGTTTCGGAGAAAATAATTTTTTTATAACCACACTTTTAAGAAACGTCATATTAAGTAGGAGATTTTTAAAAATTAATATCAAACGAATCCTTTACTTTGGAACATAATAATTCGGTATAAATTAATCCCAAACATTGTGTTATAACCTCAAAAAGTTTCATTGTTTCAATCTTAACCATTTTCAAAAAAATAATTTTTTTATAACCACACTTTTAAGATACGGCAAATTTGATAGGTGATTTTGAAAAATTAATATCAAACGAATCCTTTACTTTGGAACATAATAATTTGGTATAAATTAATCCCAAACATTATGTTATTACCTCAAAAAGTTTCGTTATTTCAATCTTAACTATTTTCGAGAAAATAATTTTTTTATAACCGCACTTTTAAGAAACGTCAAATTTGATAGGTGATTTTTAAAAATTAATATCAATCGAATCGTTCACTTTGAAATATTATAATTTGGTATAAATTGATCCCAAATGTTCCTTAATAACCTCAAAAAATTTCGTTCTTTCAATCTTAACCATTTCGGAGAAAACGATTTTTTTATAACCACACTTTTAAGAAACGTCAAATTTAATAGGAGATTTTTAAAAATTAATAACAAGCGAATCGTTCACTTTGAAATATTATAATTTGATATAAATTAATCCCAAACATTCCTTAATAACCTCAAAAAATTTCATTCTTTCAATCTTAACCATTTCGGAGAAAACAATTTTTTTATAACCACACTTTTAAGAAACGTCAAATTTGATAGGTGATTTTTAAAAATTAATATCAATCGAATCGTTCACTTTGAAATATTATAATTTGGTATAAATTAATCCCAAGCGTTCCTTTATAACCTCAAAAAATTTCATTCTTTCAATCTTAACCATTTCGGAGAAAACAATTTTTTTATAACCACACTTTTAAGAAACGTCAAATTTGATAGGTGATTTTTAAAAATTAATATCAATCGAATCGTTCACTTTGAAATATTATAATTTGGTATAAATTAATCCCAAACGTTCCTTTATAACCTCAAAAAATTTCATTCTTCCAATCTTCACCAATTCGGAGAAAACGATTTTTTTATAACCACACTTTTAAGAAACGTCAAATTTAATAGATGATTTTTAAAAATTAATAACAAGCGAATCGTTCACTTTGAAATATTATAATTTGGTATAAATTAATCCCAAGCGTTCCTTTATAACCTCAAAAAATTTCATTCTTTCAATCTTAACCATTTCGGAGAAAACAATTTTTTTATAACCACACTTTTAAGAAACGTCAAATTTGATAGGTGATTTTTAAAAATTAATATCAATCGAATCGTTCACTTTGAAATATTATAATTTGGTATAAATTAATCCCAAACGTTCCTTTATAACCTCAAAAAATTTCATTCTTCCAATCTTCACCAATTCGGAGAAAACGATTTTTTTATAACCACACTTTTAAGAAACGTCAAATTTAATAGATGATTTTTAAAAATTAATAACAAGCGAATCGTTCACTTTGAAATATTATAATTTGGTATAAATTAATCCCAAGCGTTCCTTTATAACCTCAAAAAATTTCATTCTTTCAATCTTAACCATTTCGGAGAAAACAATTTTTTTATAACCACACTTTTAAGAAACGTCAAATTTAATAGATGATTTTTAAAAATTAATATCAAGCGAATCGTTCACTTTGAAATATTATAATTTGGTATAAATTAATCCCAAGCGTTCCTTTATAACCTCAAAAAATTTCATTCTTTCAATCTTAACCATTTCGGAGAAAACAATTTTTTTATAACCACACTTTTAAGAAACGTCAAATTTGATAGGTGATTTTTAAAAATTAATATCAATCGAATCGTTCACTTTGAAATATTATAATTTGGTATAAATTAATCCCAAACGTTCCTTAATAACCTCAAAAAGTTTCATTCTTTCAATCTTAACCGTTTTCAAAAAAACGATTTTTTTATAACCACACTTTTAAGAAACGTCAAATTTAATAGGAGATTTTTAAAAATGAATAACAAGCGAATCGTTCACTTTGAAATATTATAATTTGGCATAAATGAATCCCAAGCGTTCCTTAATAATCACAAAAAGTTTCGTTGTTCCAATCTTAACAGTTTCTGAGAAAATAAATTTTTTTTCTACATAAATTTTATTAGTAACCTCTGCATGTTAAAAAANAATCGTTCACTTTGAAATATTATAATTTGGCATAAATGAATCCCAAGCGTTCCTTAATAATCACAAAAAGTTTCGTTGTTCCAATCTTAACAGTTTCTGAGAAAATAAATTTTTTTTCTACATAAATTTTATTAGTAACCTCTGCATGTTAAAAAAATAAATTGAAATTGACAGTTACGTCAAAATTTATTTAAAAAAAATATAGAAAAATTCCCGTTCAACAAACAAACGTTAAAAGCAACACAAAAAAGAAAATTGGAAGAAAATGACTTCGTCAACGGATAACAGAGAATCATCTTTAAGTTTAAACGGAGTCCACTTGACAACATTAGAGGTTATCGGCATTGCGGCAGGGACGGCGATCCTCACACTTTTCTGTTGCTCAGGAGGACACGGCGGTAGTGATTAATAATAATAAAAATCAATAACAATAAAGAAATACCTTTGACATTGCATAACGAGTTTTTTACGAATTTTATGGTGGGACTTTTAAAAAGGCATTAAAAAAAAATTGAACTTCTCAAATCCGGGTTCTTTTTGAGACGAAGTACTAAAAAGATAATTTGTGGTAATTTGTGTAATATATGAAAACGTGGATTGCGAAATTTTCGATTAACTCGAATGGAAATTATAGATTCGACTCATCTTTGCGATATTAGCGAGTAATTACTCAAATTTTTTTTATATATAAAGAATTATGGAACCATCCTATTCAGTGGGAAATCGAAAATTATTCAATTTCAATTTTAAACGTCTCTTCTATCAACAACGTGAGAAAAACTTTCTTTATTACGCATTTTTTTTAACAACAATTTGTAACCGCGCTTTATTATTATTATTATTTATCTCTTTTTATTAAAATAACCCAATTCTCAAAGATCATCGCGAAATTCTTTCGATGTTTCCAAGGAAACGGTTTTAAATTAAATAAATTATAAAAATAACGAAGACTTCTTCTTCTCCCCCACCTCCAAAAGGTGCTCTTAGAAGAAGACGTGAAACACCAGGATGTTACTCGTGAGTGTTGGGTTATAAAAGGAAGATATCGTGCGATTTTAGAGTTTAGTTTTAAACATCTATCGAAAGAGTTTTTTTGAAATTTTTTAAATAAAGTTTATTTTTTATTCTTAAATGTGGTGAATCATTCATTTTTGGAAAAACCAATTTAATTTATTCAAGAAATTTTAATCGACCAAGTAAGTTATTTCATTTTAAATATTGATTTTATGATCTCACAATTTTAAAGTGCGTAAATGTCGCGAAGATTACGTAAGGCCTATAATATAATAGAAAACGACCTTAAAGTTTATTGAGTGACAATCGGAATGTAAAATTAGACTTTTTATTATTACTAAAAATGAGAATTTATTAAAATTACCCGGATCCGACTCAAAAAAGCGCTAAAACAAAATTCGTTTTTCAAATCCGAGGTAACTCGGATCCGGGTTAATTCCAATCGGGTTACACAACACGTGTTTGTTGACTTTTAACGCGCGTTTTCGGCCGTCCAAGATGCTCAGATACATCCTGGTCGGTCATCCTCTCAAACCTTGGCGAGATGCTAATTTATTTCCTTTTTTTTTAAGACCAACTCGACTTTACAGAGTTAAAAGTGCCATTTTCGAAATCTCCGGCAAAAATCACCTTGACGTGACCCCCAACACCGCATATTTCGGGCGATTTTGATTTCACCCCGCCATCTTTATTTATATGTCAATGTCAAATTTCAAAATCATTACAACCACGATGTGTTTGTACTCAAATTGTTGCAAATTTTATCGGGGATTCAAAAATGATTTAATTAATCAAAAAATTTTTAATTTAAAAAATTAATTTAATAACAATCTTTTTTTTTGATTTTATTGAAATCCTCGTCTTAAATAAGCTCGAAATGACACCCAACTCGATATATTTCGGTTTTAACCCTCCATCTTAATTTTTACGTCAATCCGCCATCTTAAAAAATTAAATTTAAGCGAACCCCGTCGTGTTTATACTCAAATTAACGCAAATTCGATGGGGGATTCAAAAATGATTAAATTAATATCAAAAAAATTTTATTTAAAGAATTAATTTAAAAAAAATCATCTCAAAACATTTTTTTTTGATTTTATTGGAATCCCCGTCTTAAATAAGCTCGAAATGACACCCAACTCGATACATTTCGGTTTTAACCCTCCATCTTAATTTATACGTCAATCCGCCATCTTGAAATAATTAAATTTAAGCGAACCCCATCGTGTTTATACTCAAATTAACGCAAATTCGATGGGGGATTCAAAAATGATTAAATTAATATCAAAAAGTTTTATATTAAACAAATTAATTAAAAAAAATCGATTTAACTTAACCTCAAAACAATTTTTTTTGGTTTTATCGAATTCCCCATTTTAAATAAGCTCGAAATGACACCCAACTCGATATATTTCGGTTTTAACCCTCCATCTTAATTTTTACGTCAATCCGCCATCTTAAAAAAAATTAAATTTAAGCGAACCCCATCGTGTTTATACTCAAATTAACGCAAATTCGATGGGGGTTTCAAAAATGATTATATTAATATCAAAAAATTTTATATTAATCAAATTAATTAAAAAAAATCGATTTAACTTAACCTCAAAACAATTTTTTTTGGTTTTATTGAATTCCCCATCTTAAATAAGCTCGAAACGACACCCAACTCGATATATTTCGGTTTTAACCCTCCATCTTAATTTTTACGTCAATCCGCCATCTTAAAAAAATTAAAATTGAAGCAAACCCCATCATGTTGGTACTCAAATTAACGCAAATTTGATGGAGAATTCAAAAATGATTAAATTAATGTCAAAAAAATTTTATTTAAAAAATTAATTTAAAAAAAATCATCTCAAAACATTTTTTTTTTGATTTTATTAAAATCCCCGTCTTAAATAAGCTCGAAATGATACCCAACTCAGTATATTTCGATTTTAACCCTCCATCTTAATTTTTACGTCATTCCGCCATCTTAAAAAATTAAATTTAAGCGAACCCCATCGTGTTTATACTCAAATTAACGCAAATTCGATGGGGAATTCAAAAATGATATAATTATTTCAAAATTTTTTTGTATAAAAATATAAATCAAAAAAAATCGATTAATTTGAACCTCAAAATATTTTTTTTTGATTTTATTAAAATCCCCGTCTAAAATAATCGCGAAATGATACCCAACACGATATATTTTGATTTCAACCCTCCATCTTAATTTTTACGTCATTCCGCCATCTTAAAACATCAAATTAAGCAAACCCCATCATGTTGGTACTCAAATTAACGGAAATTTTACGAGGAATTCGAATCTAATGAAATAAATTATAAAAAATCAACGCTTAAACAATTAAAATTACTTAACATCTCACAAAGGAAGTAATCTTTTAACGAGATTTGTGAGAATCTTCGGTGTCTAGATTCTCATCTAACCACAAAAGATAACCAGATAGCTAGATATTTTTTCATGTTAATTAAGAAGCGACCTCAATAAAAAAAGATTGAATTAGATAATCTTATTTATTTATTTATTTTTTTCTTTTTTAATTTTTCTAACCTACAACTTTAAAGTTCAATAGAAGACGATAAACAAGAAAAAGAAGAAGAAAAGATTGCACAAGTTGCTTTCTAAAATTTTCCCACTCGTCGTTTTCATCGTCTTTTAACCTTTTAACACAACCTCTTCATTTCGAATCGAACCGAACGACCTCTACACGATACGGTGACGTAACGAGGTCACCGAAACAAACACAGGTAGTAGTAGGCCGCGCGGCTTAAAAAAGGACGAAGATGAAGAAAAAGAAACAAAATCTCATATGAAACGATGTGAGAGTAACACTTTCTTTTCGCTATTAATCACCATAATAGAGGATGAGGTTATAGAGGTTAAGTTATAGATGCGCAACTTTACGTAACGGTAACGTAACCACAACAATCGCGAGAAAAATGTGGGGAAAGTATTTTTTTTGACAGCGAAAGTGTCGTTTTTATCACTTTGAAACGATTTCATTAACGTTGTGATGATAAAAACAGCGTATTTGAATTCTCCGGGAAAAATCAGCTTGAAACGATGCCCCACATCGCACTATTTCATTGATTCTTTTTGACCACCATCTTAATTGTTACGTCAATCCGCCATTTTGAATTAATACAATATAATCGAAACATGTCGTGTTTATACTCAAATTGTTACAAATTTGATGGGGAATTCGAAAATGATTTAATTAATAAAAAAAAATTTTATTTAAAAAAATTCATTGAAAAAAATCATCTTAAAACATTTTTTTTTTTGATTTCATTGAAATCCCCGTCTTAAATAAGCTCGAAATGATACCCAACACGATATATTTTGGTTTTGACCCTCCATCTTAATTTTTACGTCAAACCGCCATCTTAAAAAAATTAAAATTGAAGCAAACCCCATCATGTTGGTACTCAAATTAACGGAAATTTCATAAGGAATTCAAAAATAATATTTATTTCATCGAAAAATTAATTAATTTTAACCTCACTTTTAAAATAACGAATTTTTTTAATTTTTTTTTTAGCTAAACAATGAAGACACTAATTTTAGTGTCTTTATACATAATCACCACGTTCAACGTCAAGGGAGACGTTATCCACGCAATAAAAACCGTTCAGCAACATCCAAAACCTGTAGAAATCAATGAGTTAACGTTAAAATCGAATTCGAAAACCGATTTTTGGTGGCAAAGCGATAACTCGCCGTTGAAAAAGGCTCAAAATCATTTCACGGCGTGTTCGAAATCGAAAAGCTGTTTTAAAACCGCCGAAGAAGTCAACGATTTAACCTCAAAGCGGGGTGTTAACGAAAACGATGACGATTTAAAGGTGGATTTGACTCAAAACGTATTTTTTAATGGAGAATTTAATGGAAACGATGCGAGATTAAACCAAAAAAATTATTTTAATGGGCACGGTAAAATTGTTAAAGACTCCGGAAATGGATTTTTGGGTGTCCAACCCGTTGAGGTTAAGTTCAGTCATCCAAAACCGTTTTCGACGGTTCCTATTAATGGAAAATGTGGTGGAAATGGATATGTGTGCGTGTTGAAGGAAAAATGCGGTCCCGATGGCGTCTTAATCGACCCAAAAGATGGATTTAATGCAGAAAAGGTGAGTTTTTTTATATAAAGAATTTAAACTTTAAAGAAATCCTTGATCTTTTCTAAAAGATGAGTAAAAGGCGAATAAGGAAACTTCATATTATTATCACTTTGAATATTATATACCAATAATTAACATTTTATAACCGAAAAGTGTCAAAAGTAAAAGTATTTAACGAAAATGTGTTAATTGTTTAATGAAGTAGTAATTAAGAAAGATTTCATTTTCTAAAAAGGAAATTGTTATAAAACAATTATCATAAAAAATAAATTACGAGTTAACTAGATACATTCAGAATTATATCCTTGACATCTTCGCTTAGATCCTAACCGTAAAAGGAGCCGAATCGAATTGATTATGTAAGAGGAATGCAATAAAATACTCACGATTAAAGGAAATTAACGAAATTTTTTCTCAAAACGTATTTTTAATAACATATTTGAATTCCTCGGAAAAAATTAGCTTGAAATGATACCCCACACGATATATTTAGATCCAATTTTTAAGCGCCATATTAAAAAAATTATCTCAAAAAATTTTTTTTTTGATTTTATTGAAATCCTCATATCAAATAAGCTCGAAATGACACCCAACTCGATATATTTCGGTTTTAACCCTCCATCTTAATTTTTACGTCAATCCGCCATCTTGAAATAATTAAATTTAAGCAAACCCCATCGTGTTTATACTCAAATTAACGCAAATTTGATGGGGAATTAAAAAATGAGGAGATTAATATCGAAAAATTTTATGTTAAAAGAATTAATTTAAAAAAATCGATTCATTTAACCTCAAAATATTTTTGTTTTGATTTTATTGAAATCTCCGTCTTAAATAAGCTCGAAATGATACCCAACTCGATATATTTTGGTTTTAATCCTCCATCTTAATTTTTACGTCAATCCGCCATCTTGACATAATTAAATTTAAGCAAACCCCATCGTGTTTATACTCAAATTAACGCAAATTTGATGGGAAATTCAAATATGATGAGATTAATATCAAAAAATTGTTATTTAAAAAATTAATTAAAAAAAATCATCTCAAAACATTTTTTTTTGATTTTATTGAAATCTCCGTCTTAAATAAGCTCGAAATGATACCCAACTCGATATATTTTGATTTTAACCCTCCATCTTAATTTTTACGTCAATCCGCCATCTTAAAAAAATTAAAATTGAAGCAAACCCTATCATGTTGGTACTCAAATTAACGCAAATTTGACGAGGAATTCAAAAATGATGAAATTAATATCAAAAAATTGTTATTTAAAAAATTAATTAAAAAAAAATCATCTCAAAACATTTTTTTTTGATTTTATTGAAATCCCCATCTCAAATAAGCTCGAAATGATACCCAACTCGATATATTTTGGTTTTAATCCTCTATTTTAATTTTTACGTCAATCCGCCATCTTAAAAAAATTAAAATTGATGCAAACCCTATCATGTTGGTACTCAAATTAACGCAAATTTGATGAGGAATCTAAAAATGATAAAATTAATATCAAGAACTTTTATATTAAGATAAATAATTAAAAAAAATCAATTTAATTTAACCTCAAAATATTTTTTTTAACTTTATTGAAATCTCCGTCTTAAATAAGCTCGAAATGATACCCAACACGATATATTTTGGTTTTAACCCTCCATCTTAATTTTTACGTCAATTCGCCATCTTGAAAAAATTTAATTTTAAGCAAACCCCATCGTGTTTATACTCAAATTAACGCAAATTTGATGAGGAATTCAATAATGTTGAAATTAACATCAAAAAATTGATATTAAGAGAATTAATTTAAAAAAATCGATTTAAATTAACCTCGAAACAATTTTTTTTAATTTTATTGAAACCTCCATCTCAAATAAGCTCGAAATGATACCCCACAAGCTATATTTCGGTTTTAACCCTCCATTTTAATTTTTACGTCAATCCGCCATCTTAAAAAAATTAAAATTGAAGTAAACCCCATCATGTTGGTACTCAAATTAACGGAAATTTCATAAGGAATTCAAAAATAACCTTTTTAATACCAAAAATCGTCTTATTAAAAAATTAATTAATAAAAATCGGTTTATTTAACCGATTTTTTTAATTCTATTAAAATCCCCGTCTTAAATCATTTCGAAATGACACCCAACACGATACATTTTAATTAATTTCGATTTTAAGCGTCCATCTTAATTTTTACGTCAATCCGCCATCTTAAAAAATGCAAATTTAATCAAATCGCACCGTGTTTATACTCAAATTAACGGGAATTTCGTTACGAATTTGAATATTCAAATTTTATTCATTTCTGCTTATTATTTTTAGCCGGATTGCAAAGAATTCGAAAACATTTGTTGCCGCTTACCGAATTATTCATCCTCCTCATCGTCGATTCAAGGATTTTCATCGTCGCAAGCTTTCTCATCATCCCAAGCATTTTCATCATCGGGAAAATCATCGTTCGGAATCAAAAATTTCGGCACATTTTCGAACAGCATCAGCCTCACGCCGGATATTCGAAACGCTGGCGAATCTGGTCATGGAGCGGGACTTGGATTTAATGTAATCTCAACGACTTCAAAACCTCAACGAGACGTCACTTTTAACCCGATTTTTGGGTCAACCGTTGATTACAGCGATACTCATTTCGGATCGGAAGTTCGATTCGGATCAACAATAAAAGGCCCCGATTATTTACCCCCGTATGAAACAACAACTCAACCCGGGATAATTTGTGCAGAAAATGAGATTAAAATTAATGGAAAGTGCGAAAAAGTTAAAGAAACTTGCAAAGGAGGCCAAATTATCGTTAATGGAAGATGCGTTTGCCCCGCAAATCAAGTTTTAATCGCGGGAAGATGCGTTCAATGCGGCGAGAACGAAGTCTTGGTTAATGGAAGATGTCAAAGGGTGACTACTCCTCGTCCAAGATGTTATGCACCGGAAATTTTAATCGATGGAGTTTGTAAAGTTCCAACAACTCCAACAACGAGTTGTGAAGGTGGTCAACAATACGTTAATGGAAGGTGTCAATGTAGTTTTGGGTATGTTTTTGTTAATGGAAGGTGTCAAATTACCACAACTCCGGCTCCGAGTTGCGAAGGGGGGCAAATTTATATTAATGGAAGATGTCAATGCTCATTTGGACAACAATTTATTAATGGAAGATGTCAAATTACGACAACTCCAGCTCCGAGTTGCGAAAGAGGACAAATTTATATTAATGGAAGGTGCCAGTGTCAAAGCGGATATGTTTTGATCAATGGAAGATGTCAAATTAAAACTACACCTCCACCAACGTGTCCACCAGGTCAACAATTCGTTGATGGAATCTGTCAAATTGGATACACGAGCACACTTCCTCCAACGCCTTTGTGTCTGCCCGGCCAACAATTAGTTAATGGACAATGTACATGCGCAGTTGGTCAAGAGTTCATCAATGGAAGATGTAGACAAATTACAACTCCATCTTGCGAAGGAGGCCAAATTTACATCAATGGAAGGTGTCAATGTCAAAATGGATACACTTTTGTTAATGGAAGATGTCAAATTACCACAACACCACCTCCATCTTGCGAGGGAGGGCAAGTTTACATCAATGGAAGGTGCCAATGTCAATTTGGGTACACCTTCGTTAATGGAAGATGTCAAATAACAACAACTCCAGCTCCAAGCTGCGAAGGGGGTCAAGTTTACATCAATGGAAGGTGTCAATGTCAAAATGGATACAGTTATGTTAATGGAAGATGTCAAATTACAACAACTCCAGCTCCGAGTTGCGAAGGAGGTCAATCTTACATCAATGGAAGGTGTCAATGTCAATTTGGGTACACATTTATTAATGGAAGATGTCAAACTACAACAACGCCTCCTCCAAGTTGCGAGGGAGGCCAAGTTTACATCAATGGAAGGTGCCAATGTCAATTTGGATACACTTTCGTTAATGGAAGGTGTCAAATCACAACAACTCCAGCTCCAAGTTGCGAGGGAGGTCAAACTTACATCAATGGAAGGTGTCAATGTCAATTTGGATACACATTTATTAATGGAAGGTGTCAAACCACAACAACCCCAACTCCACGTTGCGAAGGAGGTCAAATTTACATTAATGGAAGATGTCAATGTCCAAGTGGGTACACCTTTATAAATGGAGAATGTGAAAAAGGATATACAAGTACAGTTCCACCAACACCCTTGTGTCTGCCTGGTCAACAATTAATTAATGGACAATGCACATGTGCAGTTGGACAAGAATACATCAATGGAAGATGTAGACAAATTCCAGCCCCCAGCTGCGAAGGAGGTCAAACTTACATCAATGGAAGGTGTCAGTGTCAATTTGGGTACACATTCATTAATGGAAAATGTCAAACTACAACAACACCTCCTCCATCATGCGAGGGAGGCCAAGTTTACATCAATGGAAGATGCCAATGTCAATTTGGATACACTTTTGTGAATGGAAGGTGTCAAATCACAACAACTCCAGCTCCAAGTTGCGAAGGGGGTCAAGTTTACATCAATGGAAGGTGTCAATGCCAATTTGGGTATACATTTATTAATGGAAGATGTCAAACCACAACAACCCCAGCTCCTAGTTGCGAAGGAGGTCAAATTTACATCAATGGAAGGTGTCAATGTCAAAATGGATACACTTATGTTAATGGAAGGTGTCAAATTACAACAACTCCAGCTCCAAGCTGCGATGGAGGTCAAGTTTACATCAATGGAAGGTGTCAATGCTCATTTGGACAACAATTTATTAATGGAAGGTGTCAAAGCACAACAACCCCAGCTCCTAGATGCGATGGAGGTCAAATTTACATTAATGGAAGATGTCAATGCCCAAGTGGGTACACCTTTATAAATGGAGAATGTGAAAAAGGATATACAAGTACAGTTCCACCAACACCCTTGTGTCTGCCTGGTCAACAATTAATTAATGGACAATGCACATGTGCAGTTGGACAAGAATACATCAATGGAAGATGTAGACAAATTCCAGCCCCCAGCTGCGAAGGAGGTCAAACTTACATCAATGGAAGGTGTCAGTGTCAATTTGGGTACACATTCATTAATGGAAAATGTCAAACTACAACAACACCTCCTCCATCATGCGAGGGAGGCCAAGTTTACATCAATGGAAGATGCCAATGTCAATTTGGATACACTTTTGTGAATGGAAGGTGTCAAATCACAACAACTCCAGCTCCAAGTTGCGAAGGGGGTCAAGTTTACATCAATGGAAGGTGTCAATGCCAATTTGGGTATACATTTATTAATGGAAGATGTCAAACCACAACAACCCCAGCTCCTAGTTGCGAAGGAGGTCAAATTTACATCAATGGAAGGTGTCAATGTCAAAATGGATACACTTATGTTAATGGAAGGTGTCAAATTACAACAACTCCAGCTCCAAGCTGCGATGGAGGTCAAGTTTACATCAATGGAAGGTGTCAATGCTCATTTGGACAACAATTTATTAATGGAAGGTGTCAAAGCACAACAACCCCAGCTCCTAGATGCGATGGAGGTCAAATTTACATTAATGGAAGATGTCAATGCCCAAGTGGGTACACCTTTATAAATGGAGAATGTGAAAAAGGATATACAAGTACAGTTCCACCAACACCCTTGTGTCTGCCTGGTCAACAATTAATTAATGGACAATGTACTTGTGCAGTTGGACAAGAGTATATCAATGGAAGATGCAGACAAGTTCCAGCCCCCAGCTGCGAAGGAGGTCAAACTTACATCAATGGAAGGTGTCAATGTCAATTTGGGTACACATTTATTAATGGAAGATGTCAAACTACAACAACACCTCCTCCATCATGCGAGGGAGGCCAAGTTTACATCAATGGAAGATGCCAATGTCAATTTGGATACACTTTTGTAAATGGAAGGTGTCAAATTACAACAACTCCAGCTCCAAGCTGCGAAGGAGGTCAAACTTACATTAATGGAAGATGTCAATGTCAATTTGGATATACATTTATTAATGGAAGATGTCAAACCACAACAACCCCAGCTCCTAGTTGCGAAGGAGGTCAAATTTACATCAATGGAAGGTGTCAATGTCAAAATGGATACACTTTTGTTAATGGAAGGTGTCAAATTACCACAACTCCGGCTCCAAGTTGCGAAGGGGGTCAAATTTACATCAATGGAAGGTGTCAATGCTCATATGGACAACAATTTATTAATGGAAGGTGTCAAAGCACAACAACCCCAGCTCCACGTTGCGAAGGAGGTCAAATTTACATTAATGGAAGATGTCAATGCCCAAGTGGGTATACCTTTATAAATGGAGAATGTGAAAAAGGATATACAAGTACAGTTCCACCAACACCCTTGTGTCTGCCTGGTCAACAATTAATTAATGGACAATGTACATGTGCAGTTGGACAAGAGTATATCAATGGAAGATGCAGACAAATTACAACTCCATCTTGCGAAGGAGGCCAAATTTACATCAATGGAAGGTGTCAATGTCAAAATGGATACACTTATGTCAATGGAAGATGTCAAATTACCACAACTCCGGCTCCAAGTTGCGAAGGAGGTCAAACTTACATTAATGGAAGGTGTCAATGTCAATTTGGATACACTTTTGTAAATGGAAGGTGTCAAATCACAACAACCCCAGCTCCAAGTTGCGAAGGAGGTCAAACTTACATTAATGGAAGGTGTCAATGTCAATTTGGATATACATTTATTAATGGAAGGTGTCAAACTACAACAACCCCAGCTCCAAGTTGCGATGGAGGTCAAATTTACATCAATGGAAGGTGTCAATGTCAAAACGGATACACTTACGTTAATGGAAGATGTCAAATTACAACAACTCCAGCTCCAAGTTGCGAAGGGGGCCAAGTTTACATCAATGGAAGGTGTCAATGCTCATATGGACAACAATTTATCAATGGAAGGTGTCAAAGCACAACAACCCCAGCTCCAAGTTGCGAAGGAGGTCAAATTTACATCAATGGAAGGTGTCAATGTCAAAATGGATACACTTTTGTTAATGGAAGGTGTCAAATTACAACAACTCCAGCTCCAAGCTGCGAAGGGGGCCAAGTTTACATCAATGGAAGGTGTCAATGCTCGTTTGGACAACAATTTATTAATGGAAGGTGCCAAACCACGACGACTCCGCCTCCATCTTGCGAAGGAGATCAAGTTTACATCAATGGAAGGTGCCAANTAATCAAACCGCACCGTGTTTATACTCAAATTAACGGGAATTTCGTTACGAATTTGAATATTCAAATTTTATTCATTTCTGCTTATTATTTTTAGCCGGATTGCAAAGAATTCGAAAACATTTGTTGCCGCTTACCGAATTATTCATCCTCCTCATCGTCGATTCAAGGATTTTCATCGTCGCAAGCTTTCTCATCATCCCAAGCATTTTCATCATCGGGAAAATCATCGTTCGGAATCAAAAATTTCGGCACATTTTCGAACAGCATCAGCCTCACGCCGGATATTCGAAACGCTGGCGAATCTGGTCATGGAGCGGGACTTGGATTTAATGTAATCTCAACGACTTCAAAACCTCAACGAGACGTCACTTTTAACCCGATTTTTGGGTCAACCGTTGATTACAGCGATACTCATTTCGGATCGGAAGTTCGATTCGGATCAACAATAAAAGGCCCCGATTATTTACCCCCGTATGAAACAACAACTCAACCGGGGATAATTTGTGGAGAAAATGAGATTAAAATTAATGGAAAGTGCGAAAAAGTTAAAGAAACTTGCAAAGGAGGCCAAATTATCGTTAATGGAAGATGCGTTTGCCCCGCTAATCAAGTTTTAATCGCGGGAAGATGCGTTCAATGCGGCGAGAACGAAGTCTTGGTTAATGGAAGATGTCAAAGGGTGACTACTCCTCGCCCGAGATGTTATGCACCGGAAATTTTAATCGATGGAGTTTGTAAAGTTCCAACAACGAGTTGTGAGGGTGGCCAACAATACATTAATGGAAGGTGTCAATGTAGTTTTGGGTATGTTTTTGTTAATGGAAGGTGTCAAATTACCACAACTCCGGCTCCGAGTTGCGAAGGGGGGCAAGTTTATATCAATGGAAGATGTCAATGCTCATTTGGACAACAATTTATTAATGGAAGATGTCAAATTACGACAACTCCGGCTCCGAGTTGCGAAAGGGGACAAATTTATATCAATGGAAGGTGCCAGTGTCAAAGCGGATATGTTTTGATCAATGGAAGATGTCAAATTAAAACTACACCTCCACCAACGTGTCCACCAGGTCAACAATTCGTTGATGGAATCTGTCAAATTGGATACACGAGCACACTTCCTCCAACGCCTTTGTGTCTGCCCGGCCAACAATTAGTTAATGGACAATGTACATGCGCAGTTGGTCAAGAGTTCATCAATGGAAGATGTAGACAAATTACAACTCCATCTTGCGAAGGAGGCCAAATTTACATCAATGGAAGGTGTCAATGTCAAAATGGATACACTTTTGTTAATGGAAGATGTCAAATTACCACAACACCACCTCCATCTTGCGAGGGAGGGCAAGTTTACATCAATGGAAGGTGCCAATGTCAATTTGGGTACACCTTCGTTAATGGAAGATGTCAAATAACAACAACTCCAGCTCCAAGCTGCGAAGGGGGTCAAGTTTACATCAATGGAAGGTGTCAATGTCAAAATGGATACAGTTATGTTAATGGAAGATGTCAAATTACAACAACTCCAGCTCCGAGTTGCGAAGGAGGTCAATCTTACATCAATGGAAGGTGTCAATGTCAATTTGGGTACACATTTATTAATGGAAGATGTCAAACTACAACAACGCCTCCTCCAAGTTGCGAGGGAGGCCAAGTTTACATCAATGGAAGGTGCCAATGTCAATTTGGATACACTTTCGTTAATGGAAGGTGTCAAATCACAACAACTCCAGCTCCAAGTTGCGAGGGAGGTCAAACTTACATCAATGGAAGGTGTCAATGTCAATTTGGATACACATTTATTAATGGAAGGTGTCAAACCACAACAACCCCAACTCCACGTTGCGAAGGAGGTCAAATTTACATTAATGGAAGATGTCAATGTCCAAGTGGGTACACCTTTATAAATGGAGAATGTGAAAAAGGATATACAAGTACAGTTCCACCAACACCCTTGTGTCTGCCTGGTCAACAATTAATTAATGGACAATGCACATGTGCAGTTGGACAAGAATACATCAATGGAAGATGTAGACAAATTCCAGCTCCCAGCTGCGAAGGAGGTCAAACTTACATCAATGGAAGGTGTCAATGCCAATTTGGATATACATTTATTAATGGAAGATGTCAAACTACGACAACCCCAGCTCCAAGTTGCGAAGGAGGCCAACAATACATTAATGGAAGGTGTCAATGTCAATTTGGATATACATTTATTAATGGAAGATGTCAAACTACAACAACTCCATCTCCATCTTGCGAAGGAGGTCAAGTTTATATCAATGGAAGGTGTCAATGTCAAAATGGATACACTTACGTTAATGGAAGATGTCAAGTGCCTCCAACGCGTTGCGAAGGCGGTCAAACTTACGTCAATGGAAGGTGTCAATGTTCGTATGGACAACAGTTTATTAATGGAAGGTGTCAAACTCCAATTCCGGATTGCGAAAGGGGACAAATTTATGTTAATGGAAGGTGTCAATGTCAAAATGGATACACTTACGTTAATGGAAGATGTCAAATCACAACAACTCCAGCTCCAAGCTGCGAAGGGGGACAAATTTATATCAATGGAAGGTGTCAATGCTCATTTGGACAACAATTTATTAATGGAAGGTGCCAAACCACGACGACTCCATCACCAAGCTGCGAAGGAGGCCAAATTTACATCAATGGAAGGTGTCAATGTCAAAGCGGATATAGATTCGTTAATGGAAGGTGTCAAATCACTACAACTCCAACCCCAAGCTGCGAAGGAGGTCAACAATACATTAATGGAAGGTGTCAATGTCAATTTGGGTATACTTTCGTTAATGGAAGATGTCAAGTTACTACAACTCCGGCTCCAAGCTGCGAAGGAGGTCAAGTTTACATCAATGGAAGGTGTCAATGCCAAAGCGGATATAGATTCGTTAATGGAAGGTGTCAAATCACCACAACTCCAACTCCAAGCTGCGAAGGAGGTCAACAATACATTAATGGAAGGTGTCAATGTCAATTTGGGTACACTTTTGTTAATGGAAGATGTCAAATCACAACAACTCCAGCTCCAAGCTGCGAAGGAGGTCAAACTTACATTAATGGAAGGTGTCAATGTCAATTTGGGTACACTTTTGTTAATGGAAGATGTCAAATCACAACAACTCCAGCTCCAAGCTGCGAAGGAGGTCAAACTTACATTAATGGAAGGTGTCAATGTCAATTTGGGTACACTTTTGTTAATGGAAGATGTCAAATCACAACAACTCCAGCTCCAAGCTGTGAAGGAGGTCAACAATACATTAATGGAAGATGTCAATGTCCATTTGGTCAAGAATTTATTAATGGAAAGTGTGAAACCGGATACACGAGCACAGTTCCGCCGACATCTTTGTGCTTACCAGGTCAACAAGTCATTAATGGACGATGCGCTTGCCCGATTGGACAAGAATACATCAATGGAAGATGCCAAGTGCCTCCAACGCGTTGCGAAGGCGGTCAAACTTACGTCAATGGAAGGTGTCAATGTTCGTATGGACAACAGTTTATTAATGGAAGGTGCCAAAGTCCAAAACCAGATTGCGAAGGGGGGCAAATTTATGTTAATGGAAGGTGTCAGTGTCAAAATGGATATGTTTTGATTAATGGAAGGTGTCAAACTCCGAAACCAGATTGCGAAGGGGGGCAAATTTATGTTAATGGAAGGTGTCAGTGTCAAAATGGATATGTTTTGATTAATGGAAGGTGTCAAACTTCGAAACCGGATTGCGAAGGGGGGCAAATTTATGTTAATGGAAGGTGTCAGTGTCAAAGTGGGTATGTTTTGATTAATGGAAGATGTCAAATTAAAACGACTCCCCCGCCTTCGTGTCCACCGGATCAAGAATTTATTAATGGAAGATGTCAAAGTGGTTATACAAGCACGGTTCCGCCAAAACAATTGTGTTATCCGGGTCAACAATTAATTAATGGAGTGTGTTCTTGTCCATCTGGTCTCCAATACATCAATGGAAGGTGCCAAACCACCACAACCCCGGCGCCACGATGCGATTATGGACAAACCTACATCAATGGAAGATGTCAATGTCAAAATGGATACGTTTTGATTAATGGAAAGTGTCAAACTCCAAAACCGGAGTGTGAAGGGGGACAAATTTATGTTAATGGAAGGTGTCAATGTCAAAATGGATATGTTTTGATTAATGGAAGGTGTCAAACAACTCCTCCCCCCGCGAGATGTTTAGCAAACGAAGTTTTAATTAATGGAGTTTGCCGAGTTCCTACAACTCCCCCACCACGCTGCGAAGGCGGACAAACTTACATCAATGGAAAGTGTCAATGTTCGTTTGGACAACAGTTTATTAATGGAAGATGTCAAACTCCAATTCCGGATTGCGAATCGGGACAAATTTATGTTAATGGAAGGTGTCAATGTCAAAATGGATACGTTTTGATTAATGGAAGGTGTCAAACTCCAAAACCAGAGTGTGAAGGGGGACAAATTTATGTTAATGGAAGGTGTCAATGTCAAAATGGATACGTTTTGATTAATGGACGTTGTCAAATAACAACAACAGAAAGACCCGGCTATACTTATCCAACCCCAACTAAACCATTCTGCCGCTTAAACGAATACGTTCTAAACGGAAAATGCGTCCCAAAACAACCCGTCAACCCCGATGGAAGTTATAACTACGACAAACCAGACACCAATTTCGACAGCTCCAACGATTACCCCCCTAGTTATATCCCACCCGATAACGGAGGAAGAGATAAACCAACAAATGACCTTGATAACATCCCCGAAGGCGATAAACAAATCACGACTCATTTGAGACCGACGACACCACAAACACCTTTTAATCCGAATCAAAATAATCTTCCGGTTTATTCGGGGTGTGCGGCGGCGTTAAAATGTGTCCAAGAAATTTATTGTACGAGTGAAGGTACGATTTCGGGGGTTCCCGTTGTTTTGAGTAAAGAGCAGCAAGAGAATCGAGTCCCATTGGCGGTTTGTACCCTTTTGGAAACTGGTGGGGAAGGGAAATGTTGTCGCGATCCTAATTATAAGGATCCCTGGCCGTCGGCGAATTTAATCGATGGAGTCGATGATGGGACTTATCGCGAAGATAACACTTTGGGGCAATATCAGGTTAAAAAGAGGGAATCTAATAATAAATTAAGAGCGGTGAGGTCGGGGAATTTTCCGCGAAATCTTGAAGGATCTCAACTTAATACCCCATCTTGTGGAATTAGAAATTTAGTAAGAAATCAGTATTAATTAATTATTTTATTTAATAAAAATCGTTTCAGGACTCGAAATTAACATCTAACGGACCTTTAGAGGTTAATTTCGGTGAAATCCCGTGGCAAGCTATGATTTTAAGAGATTCCACGCGAACTTTGTTGTGCGGTGGAGTCATTATTCGTCCAGATGCCGTTTTAACAACCGCTAAATGCATCGATGGGTAAAAATTTTTTACATTTTTCAAATTTTATCTAAAAATTCGTAATCTGCGTGAAATTCCCTTTAAATTGATACCAAACTCGACTATATTATCTTTAAAAACAACCGAGATATAAACGATTAAAAATTAATTTGACAGCTGACATTTAATTTTTAGGTTAAGTTTTTATTTTTATTTGTTGATATCTCCGTTGTTTTTTGGAATAACCCCATCGTGTTTGGACTCATTTTAAAGTATTTTTAATTTCCTACACGATACGATTAACAAAATTAAGCAAAATTTTTTTTTTAATTTTGTTAAAAAATTCGTAATCACCTTAAAATTCCCTTCAAAATAATACCAAACTCGACTATATTATCTTCAAAAACAACTGAGATATAAACGATTAAAAATTAATGTGACAGCTGACGTTTAATTTTTTTAGGTTAAGTTTTTATTTTTATTTGTTGATATCTCCTTTGTTTTTTGAGATAACCCCATCGTGTTTGGACTCATTTTAAAGCATTTTTAATTTCCTACACGATACGATTAACAAAATCAAGTAAAAAAAATTTTTTAATTTTATTAATAAATTCTTAATCACCTTAAAATTCCCTTCAAAATAATACCAAACACGACTAAATTATCTTCAAAATCAACCGAGATATAAACAATTAAAAATTAATTTGACAGTTGACATTTCAAAATTAGGTTATGTTTCGATTCTTTTTTTGTTGATATCTCCGTTGTTTTTTGAGATAACCCCATCGTGTTTGGGCTCATTTTAAAGGATTTTTAATTTCCTACACGATGCGCTTAATCAAATTAATTAAAAACAATATTTTTTTATTTTTTTTTTTTAGAATCGAATCTAAAGATATTTTGGTGAAAGGTGGCGAATGGAAATTGGGAGTCGACGAAGAACCGCAACCGTTCCAAATCGTCAAAGTGGCCGCGGCGGTGCGTCACCCGCAATACCGCGTTGCCAACCTAACAAACGACTTAGCCGTTTTAGTTTTAACCGAAAAATTGCGTCTAACCGGAAATGTTGGAACTTTATGTTTAGACGAGAATCAAAATGATGTTGATGATGAGAGTTGTATCGTTACAGGGTGGGGGAAAAGAATATTACAAGGTAATACTTAATTTAATTATTCATTATTATTAAATTTGATGTTAAAATCTTTTTAGTTCACCTTAAAAACGCGATAATGCACTCAATCGACGTTAATATCATCAATAACGAGGAATGCGCCGAAAAATTAGGACCAGAAACTGAGATTGGGGCGAAAAATTTGTGCACCATATCAAAATCGAATCATTGCGAGGTCGATTATGGAAGTGCTTTAGCCTGTAAATCAAAATCGGGTCAATACGCGTTAAAAGGAATCTTCAGTTACGATTCGGGATGCAAAAACGATCGGCAAGTTGGGGTTTACACCAAACCGGAAGTCGGATGGGTCGAAGAGATGGTTTCGAAACCGCATAAAGCTTTGAGAAAAATCGAGCGGGCGTTTTTAGCGGCGAACGTTTGAAATTAATCCGTATTGTTAAGAGGAATACTGCCGATAAACAAGAAAATGATACTTTTTAAGAAAAAATCTGTCAATAATTACTATAAGAAACTGTAAAACTGCCTTGTAAAGTGTAAATAAACGTTTATCTTATGTTTTTTTGAATAAAAAGTAGTTTTTTTTTTAATTGAAGGGAAAAAATATGGAAATAAGGGGTGTTTTATAAAGGGGGGTTTAAAATATTGAGGACGCATGCGCGGGGATATCGACCCGAAACAAACGACGCTCAAACGTCAAATATATTGTTGACAGTGACGCAGAAACATTAGAACGCCAATTTACTTTGGTTATTTGATACATTAATTTAATTTTTGTATTGATTGTAAAGTTGCTTCTTAATTTTTTGAAGGTGAGTTGCTCAAATAATTAATTTTCTCNTTTTTTTAAATTCAATGTTTATGAATTTAATCTTTTTTTTACAATTTTAGCTAAAAAATTATTTTTCTCCAAAATTTTTAATACTAACATATTGATTATTATATATCATTTTAAAGAAGACATTTCAACCTTTAATTTAAGATATAAATCATTTCTTCATTCCCAAAAATAACCGAGATGTGATTTTCTGAAAATCAATGATTATGAATTTCATCTTTTTTTACAATTTTAGCTAGAAAATTATTTTTCTCCAAAAATTTTAATATTAACATATTAATTATTATGCATCATTTTAAAGAGGACAGTTCAACCTTTAATTTAAGATATAAATCATTGTTTCATTCCCAAAAATAAGCTAGATATGATTTTTTTTAAATCGATGTTTATGAATTTCATCTTTTTTTTACAATTTTAGCTAAAAAATTATTTTTCTCCAAAAATTTTAATATTGACATATTAATTATTATACATCATTTTAAAGAGGACAGTTCAACCTTTAATTTAAGATATAAATCATTGTTTCATTCCCAAAAATAAGCGAGATATGATTTTTTTAAAATCGTAGTTTATGAATTTCATTTTTTTTACAATTTTAGCTAAAAAATTATTTTTCTCCAAAAATTTTAATATCAACATATTGATTATTATATATCATTTTAAAGAAGACATTTCAACCTTTAATTTAAGATGTAAATCATTGTTTCATTCCCAAAAATAAGCGAGATGTCATTTTTTTAAAATCAATGATTATGAATTTCATCTTTTTTTACAATTTTAGCTAAAACATTATTTTTCTCCAAAAATTTTAATATTAACATATTGATTATTATACATCATTTTAAAGAAGACGTTTCAACCTTTAATTTAAGATATAAATCATTTCTTGATTCCCAAAAATAAGGGAGATATGATTTTTTTAAATTCAATGTTTATGAATTTCATCTTTTTTTTACAATTTTAGCTAAAAAATTATTTTTCTCCAAAAATTTTAATATTAACATATTGATTATTATACATCGTTTTAAAGAAGACATTTCAACCTTTAATTTGAGATATAAATCATTGTTTTATTCCCAAAAATAAGCGAGATATGATTTTTTTAAAATCGTTGTTTATAAATTTCATGTTTTTTTACAATTTTAGCTAAAAAATTATTTTTCTCCAAAAATTTTAATATTAACATATTGATTATTATACATCATTTTAAAGAAGACATTTCAACCTTTAATTTGAGATATAAATCATTGTTTCATTCCCAAAAATAAGCGAGATATGATTTTTTTAAAATCGTAGTTTATGAATTTCATTTTTTTTACAATTTTAGCTAAAAAATTATTTTTCTCCAAAAATTTTAATATCAACATATTGATTATTATATATCATTTTAAAGAAGACATTTCAACCTTTAATTTAAGATGTAAATCATTGTTTCATTCCCAAAAATAAGCGAGATGTCATTTTTTTAAAATCAATGATTATCAATTTTATCTTTTTTTACAATTTTAGCTAAAACATTATTTTTCTCCAAAAATTTTAATATTAACATATTAATTATTATACATCATTTTAAAGAAGACATTTCAACCTTTAATTTAAGATATAAATCATTGTTTCATTCCCAAAAATAAGCGAGATATGATTTTTTTAAAATCGTTGTTTATAAATTTCATTTTTTTTACAATTTTAGCTAAAAAATTATTTTTCCCCAAAATTTTTAATATTAACATACTGATTATTATATATCATTTTAAAGAGAACATTTCAACCTTTAATTTAAGATATAAATCATTGTTTCATTCCCAAAAATAAGCGAGATATGATTTTTTTTAAATTGTTGTTTATGAATTTCATTTTTTTTACAATTTTAGCTAAAACATTATTTTTCTCAAAAAATTTTAATATTAACATATTGATTATTATACATCATTTTAAAGAAGACATTTCAACCTTTAATTTGAGATATAAATCATTGTTTCATTCCCAAAAATAAGCGAGATATGATTTTTTTAAAATCGTTGTTTATGAATTTCATTTTTTTTACAATTTTAGCTAAAAAATTATTTTTCTCCAAAAATTTTAATATTAACATATTGGTTATTATATATCATTTTAAAGAAGACATTTCAACCTTTAATTTGAGATATAAATCATTTTTCCATTCCCAAAAATAACCGAGATGTGATTTTTATAAAATCAATGATTATGAATTTCATCTTTTTTTACAATTTTAGCTAAAAAATTATTTTTCTCCAAAAATTTTAATATTAACATATTAATTATTATACATCAATTTAAAGAAGACATTTCAACCTTTAATTTAAGATATAAATCATTGTTTCATTCCCAAAAATAAGCGAGATATGATTTTTTTTAAATCGTTGTTTATGAATTTCATTTTTTTTTTACCATTTTACCTAAAAAATCAGTTTTCTCCAAAAATGTTAATATTAGCATATTAATTATTATACATCATTTTAAAGAGGACATTTCAACCTTTAATTTGAGATATAAATCATTGTTTCATTCCCAAAAATAACCGAGATGTGATTTTTTTAAAATCAATGATTATGAATTTTATCTTTTTTTACAATTTTAGCTACAAAATTATTTTTTTCCAAAAGTTTTAATATTAACATATTGATTATTATACATCATTTTAAAGAATACGTTTTAAGCTTTAATTTACTACATAAATCAAAAGATGATATAGTTTTTTTCAAATTAAATTTTCTTTTTTGACACTGACATTAAAAAATCAATTAAGAACGTACCCTAACTAAACGTCAACACATTCAATCGAACCCCACTAAAAGTAAGAAATGTGTCATTAATGTTTTAACAATTTTATCTACCTAGATAATTTCTTATCAGTTTGTTATCAAAGTTTTAAACGGATTTTATTTCTTTAATTCAGTTTATCATCGGTGTAACACCATTTAGCATTAAAACATCCACCCAAAATGAATTTTTTAGACGAAGTTTTCAAAAAAAAGGTAACGAAACGTCAAAATCATAACCTAAAACTTTTTAACGCGATTTATTTCCGTTTCAACGACTCAAAACTTTTCTCCCGCAACGCTCGACTTATTTTAAACGCAAAACACTTGGATTACATCAAAACGTATCGAATAACTTTATATGTTTTTTTTTAATTTCATTTTATTCTTACTCTAGAAGGAGACCTCGAAAGAACCGGAAAGACCGAAACGGAGGAAAAGACGACTCGAAAACGACCACAAAGAGGTGAGAAAGCGCCAGGATTTTCGGTAAGTTTAATTTTGGATACTTTANATATAGGTTATGTTATAACAATTAATTTTTTTTGTTAATATCATTTTCTTAATATTTATTAAAAATCCTTTAATTTGATATGTCACTCGGCTAGGTTATGACGATTTTTAGTAAAATTCAAGATGGCGCCTGTAATGATATTTCATCATTTTGACATTTTTTGAGGTAAATACGTCGTGTTTGGGCTTAAATTAAACGTCTATTTCTCTAAAAGATGAAAATTAAACCCATTCTTTATTAATAAATGACGTTTTCCAATATTAATTAATATAAGTTATGTTATAACAATTAATTTTTTTTTGTTAATATCATTTTCTTAATATTTATTAAAAATCCTTTAATTTGATATGTCACTCGATTAGCTTATGACGATCTTTAGTAAAATTCAAGATGGCGCCTAAAATGACATTTCATCGTTTTGACAATTTTTGAGATAAATACGTCGTGTTTGGGCTTAAATTAAACGTCTATTTCTTTAAAAGATGAAAATTGCACTCATTATTTATTTATAAATGACGTATCGTAATAATAATTGATATAGGTTATTTTATAACAATTAAAATNAAGAATACGTTTTAATCTTTAATTTACTACACAAATCAAAAGATGATATAGTTTTTTTCAAATTAAATTTTCTTTTTTGACACTGACATTAAAAAATCAATTAAGAACGTACCCTAACTAAACGTCAACACATTCAATCGAACCCCACTAAAAGTAAGAAATGTGTCATTAATGTTTTAACAATTTTATCTACCTAGATAATTTCTTATCAGTTTGTTATCAAAGTTTTAAACGGATTTTATTTCTATAATTCAGTTTATCATCGGTGTAACACCATTTAGCATTAAAACATCCACCCAAAATGAATTTTTTAGACGAAGTTTTCAAAAAAAAGGTAACGAAACGTCAAAATCATAACCTAAAACTTTTTAACGCGATTTATTTCCGTTTCAACGACTCAAAACTTTTCTCCCGCAACGCTCGACTTATTTTAAACGCAAAACACTTGGATTACATCAAAACGTATCGAATAACTTTATATGTTTTTTTTTTTTATTTCATTTTATTCTTACTCTAGAAGGAGACCTCGAAAGAACCGGAAAGGCCGAAACGGAGGAAAAGACGACTCGAAAACGACCACAAAGAGGTGAGAAAGCGCCAGGATTTTCGGTAAGTTTAATTTTGGATATTTTAAAAAGTGTTTTTTTGATTTTAAACGATTTAAATAATAAAAGCCCCATCTATGATTGAGAAGCGGAACTAAATCGAATTAAATCGTTTCGATATGAAACCAATTTCAGTTCAGTTCGCGGCCGAACTTCACGTAAACAACAATAAAACGTCATTTAAAAACGTCAAATTAACGCCTACTGGCTTGTTTTAGTTTTGTTTTTATTTTTCTAACCTAAAAATTAGCTCAAATTGTGTGTTTTTGGAGATTAAAATCGAATTATTGAGTTTAACGTGATTAAAATGAAGTGGTGTTTGAGGTTAGGTGGTGAAAAATTGATTGTTTTGTTGTTCTTAATCGTTTTGTTGGATTTATTCAAAACAATGTTGAAGAGATAAGACGTTTTTGATTGATTTTAAATTGATTTTTGATCGCTAATTTGTGATAACGATTAATTCGGTGTTCTTGAGTCAATGAACCGGTGTGAAATGAAACGAGAGAGATGGATTTATGTTGATTTGTGTGGGATGGAGAGAGATGGAGCGATGATTTGACCGTTAAACTTAACTTTCTCAATGAAAACGGGGTTAAAGGAAAAAATTCGTATCTTCGAAACGGTTTGGAGTTAAGGCACGAATCTTTTTTTAATTTATTAAGGAATGTTTGAGGTTGGATTGGGGCGAGTTTGAAGTTTTGATGATGAATAGTTTTTTTTTTAAATGCTAATGAATCAATAACGTCTTATCTGGTAATGATTCACCTTAATCTCCTCCTAAATCCGCTATAAATTCCAGATAACGCGTTCCAATTATAGATAATAAGCAAGATAAACACTTAAAAACATAATATAATGCGTTTTAATTCGAAAGACACTTTTTAAAGATAAGTTTGAGTTGAGTTTAGTTAAAAATGAAGAGCATAAAAGCGATTTTCCGCAGAGGGGGGCAACAAAACGCCCAAAAACATCAAAATTCGGAAGAAAATGTTTCAAGAACGTCTTCTGTGACGAATTTGGCTGAGACGAAAGGGTCGAAAACTGCTTCTGGAGGTGGAAATTTAAGTAAATCGAAGAGGAGTGGGTCGAAGGATCGTTTGGAGAAGGCCCAAAGTGAAATTAAAAAGAAAAGTAATTAAAAAATGTTTTAAAATGATTTTGTAGCCAACTTCATGTTTTTATCCAACTTCGCGTTGGTTGGTAGCCAACTTCGTGTTGGTGAAATTTGTTGGTTATGTTTGATTTTTGAAATGATTTTAATTACACTTTTATTGGTTTTAGTTCCAAAAAATGAGATGAATTTGAATGAAAACGATCAAGAAATTAATCAGAATCATCAAGAAAGCGTTAATAAGCCATTGGAAGGTGTCAAAATGGATCAAAAACAGATTTTGGATACTTTGGAGAATGAATTAAAAGTGCTGAAAGAGAATTTTAATAAAATAAGCGATGAAAATTTAGTTTTAAGGACTCGATTAAAAGATGTGAGTCATTCGCCGTTGTCGGATAATGAAAAACAACAATTGTTGACTTTAAATGATGGTTTGAATTTGCTTAAGTCTGAAGAAAAATCGATGGATCAAAACGAAATCTTTTCCTTGAAGGAGACGCAAAAGAAAATGCAGGAAACTCTTTTTTGTACAAATGAGGAGCTTCAAGCGACGCTACAAGAGCTTAACGACCTTCAAAAACAATTAACGGATCTCCAACAAGACAACGATCAATTAATTGATGAAAAAAATTTAATGTTTGACTCATTATGTCGTCAAACGGAGCGTTTAAACGAAACTAAAAACGAATTGGAAGGTATTAAAACGGTTTTTAATCAAAAAATCAATCAAAAACACGAAAAAGAAATCAAAAACGACGACCTAACCTCAAAATTAGAAAAATTAACGGAAAAATTCGAATTAAACCAAAAAGAACTCGAAAATAACAAAACGTACCAAAACGAATTACAAAATCAATTAAAATTATTAGAAAACGAATTAAAATCGAAAGAAATCGACAATTTAAACTTAAAACTACAACATAACCTCAAATTAGAAGAAATCGAGCGAAAATCGAACGAAATCGTTCAATTAAAACATCTTTTAACGACGTACTCGACGAAAATCGACGAATTACAGCAACAGAATCAAACGGAAATTGAAAAGAAATCGATCGAGAATTCGATTGAAAATGAAAAGTTGAAAAATCAAATCGGGAATTTACAAAGTCAGTTGGAAAAGTTACAAAATAATTCTAAATTGACCCAAAATGAGTTGCAAATTGAGTTGGGTAATTTAAAAATTGAAAGGAATGAGTTATCCGATGAGTTGAGATCGATTAAGTCCGAAATGAAATTGTTACGGAACGAATTGGAGAAAGAAATGGAGAAAAAAAATCGCGTTTCGATCGATTTAAATGAAACTAAAAGGATGTTGAACGATTTGGAGTTGAGGAATGAGAAAATTACTATTGAGTTGGATGATTTGAAGAAGATTCGAAAAGATGAGGTTAATTTTTTTATTTTTTTGTGAGGTTATGTTGTTGATAATTAATTTTTTTTAATAGAATGAAGAATGGGAGAGGTTTCAAAATGATCTTTTAACGTCCGTTCGGGTTGCAAACGATTTTAAAACGGAAGCTCAACAAGATTTGCAAAAAATCGTGTCCGAGAATAAAGCCTACCGAGAGAAAGTGTGTCAATTGGAGGTTATGGTTGAAAAATTGAGCGGTGATCCGAGTTTGGCGAATTCGACGAGTTCCGGTGAGTTTTTTTGGCATGATTAAGCTTTTAGATCTTAATTTTTTTTTAGATTTTCTTCTTTATGTATCAATTAGTAAAATTTTATATACAGGGTGTTCCAAATTATGAATTAATTTGACATACTTTGTATTAAATTGGGCTTCTTTTTTTATCTACTGCTTTCATTTTTTTTATTCTAACTAATTCTTATTTTAATTTTAACCTAAAACTCGTTTCTGTAACATTTTGCATGATCGGCTGTACAAAACACTTATTACTATTAAAAAGTAATGTGTATATTTATACTTTTTGGGTTAAATGCATGCTATCTTAGTTACTAATAATTATTTTTTTTTAAAGTGAGGTTAAATTGAGATTTTTAACAAATTTATTCGTATTTTTTTCATAATCGAATTAAATTTGTGTTGAAATTAATCTACATTTACAAAAAAATTTGAGTATATATAATAAAAAGTGTATATAATTTCTTATTTTTTTACTAATAATCGAATTAGGTTATGTTATAAGCATTTTTTGAAATGTTTTTAATCATTTTGTTAATATTTATTAAAAATGCTTTAATTTGATACGTCACTCGAATAGGTTATGTTGATTTTTAAACAAATTCAAGATGGCGTTTGACAGTTTTGACATGTCATCCACCATTTTGTACCTTTTTGTTATAAATACATCGTGTTTTGACTTAAATTAAACATGAAACATGAAAACGTATTTATTATTTTTACTTAATTATCGGTTTAGGTTATGTTATAACAATCAAAAAAAAATTTAAATATCATTTTCTTAATATTTATTAAAAATCCTTTAATTTGATATGTCACTCGATTAGGTTATGACGATTTTTAGTAAAATTCAAGATGGCGCCTAAAATGACATTTCATCATTTTGACAATTTTTGAGATAAATACGTCGTGTTTGGGCTTAAATTAAACGTTTACTTATTTAAAAGATGAAAATTAAACTCATTTTTTATTAATAAATGACGTTTTGTAATAATGCTCGATATAGGTTATGTTATAACAATTAAATTTTTTTGTTAATATCATTTTCTTAATATTTATTAAAAATCCTTTAATTTGATATGTCACTCGGCTAGGTTATGACAATTTTTAGTAAAATTCAAGATGGCGCCTGTAATGACATTTCATTATTTTGATAATTTTTGAGATAAATACGTCGTGTTTGGGCTTAAATTAAACGTCTATTTCTCTAAAAGATGAAAATTACACTCATTATTTATTAATAAATGACGTTTCCCTATAATAATTGATACAGGTTATGTTATAATAATTAATTTTTTTTTTAATATTATTTCCTCAATACTCATGAAAAATGCTTTAATTTGATATGTCACTCGATTATGCTACGATCATTTTAAAAAAAATTCAAGATGGCGTCTAACAGTTATATATTTTTTGACAGTTTTAGATAATTTTTAAAATAAATACGTCGTGTTTGGACTTAAATTAAAGGTCTCCATCTCAGGAATACAAATCTATTAATATTTAAAGAATTTTTTTATTATAGATGGCGCTTTTTAATAATAATCGGTTTATGTCATTTTATAACAATTTTTTTTGTTAATCTCCTTAATATTCATTAAAAATCGTTTAATTTGGTACCTCACTCGATTATGTTACGATTATTTAAAAAAAAAATCAAGATGGCGATTAACAATTATTTTTTTTTGACACATTTTCTAATTTTTAAAATAAATACGTCGTGTTTGGACTTAAATTAAAGGTCTTTTTGTCAAGAATTCAAATTGATGAATATTTAAAGAAAATGATTTAATTATAGATGGCGCTTTTTAATAATAACCGATTTAGATTGTTATAACAATTTTTTTTGTTAATTTTCTTAATAATCATGAAAAATTTTTTAATTTGATATGTCACTCGGTTAGGTTATGTTGATTTAAAAAAAAATCAAGATGGCGCCTAACGATTGTATTTCATTGACAGTTTTCGTAAATTTTGAGATAAATACGTCGTGTTTGGACTTAAATTAAAGGTCTCCATCTCAGGAATGTAAAGGTTATATTGATTTTTTAAACAAATCAAGATGGCGCCTAACAATTGTGTTTCATTGACAGTTTTCGTAATTTTTGAGATAAATACGTCGTGTTTGGACTTAAATTAAAGGTCTCGATCTCAGGAATACGAATTTATTAATATTTGATGAAAATTCGAAATTATAGATGGCGCTTTTTCAATAATGAGTTGTTTTGATTGAAAATTTTAAAAATAAACACTCTAAATTTAATAAAATAGTAATTTTAACCCAAAAAAGTTTTAAATTAAATTTAATAATAAACAAGAATGAAGGCAAGGTTAAAAAACGAAGACCAAAAATGAAGAAAATTAAAAAAAAAATTAAATTTTTTGTTGTTTAAAATAAAAATGTTATTATAAATAGGAAATTTCGTGGAAAATGTTAACGAAAACGAAGAAATCGCTCGGAGTTCGTCGAAAATCGAGGATTTTAGCGAATCGGGGTTTCCCCAACCCGAAGAAATCATCCAGTTAAAACAAGATAATTCGCTTAACGATGAAATTAAAGAATCGAACGAGTCTAAACCGAAGATTAACAAGCATTTTATTAAAAAACCTAAGATTTTTCGCGCCTCAAAAGGATACCATTTCGTCCAAGACGACGAAAAACCACAAAAAGATGTTGTTGTTAAAGAGGTAGTTGCAGCGAAAAGTTTCCCTGTTAGAGAGGTGTTGCAAGAAGCTAAAGAATCTCAAGAAAACAAAAAGAAAATGTTTTCCGTCCCAAAAATAGGGCGAAAAATCGATCAAAACGATAAGAATTTAATCACATTAAACAATTTGTATCGAGAGATTGATCCGACGATCCCCGAGGAGGATTTAACACAAGAACAAAGAGTTATCATCCAATTAAAGCGGAGTTATGATTTAAATTCGAATCAAAAAAACAAGAAAAAGATCAATTTGGGAGGTTCAAGGTCAAATTTGGTGATTTCAAGGCCACTTTTGAACTCGGTGTTTCAAAATAGGAAGTTAAAGGAGGTTATTGATGATCCCACGATGAAGAGCGTCGATGATGGTGAAAATATCTTATTTGGGGCCCCCAATGTGTTTTATCCGACGAATTTCGACGATGTGTATCGAAACAACATCGAATTTAAGTATTATAATGAAGATAAGAACCAAAAGAAAGTTTTAACTACTTTTAAAAGCGATTCTTTTTTGAGTAAGAGTAAGAGTTTGAACGATTTAACTGTTAAAAATGAAGAATTTGGGATTAAAAGGCAACTTTCTGAGTCGGTTTTGAGTCGGAGTGATGATGAGGACTCTTTTTCGTCGTTTAATGATGAGGGTGAGGATTTGGACGAGATTTATAAAGAAATAAAGATGCAGAAGAAGGATGAGGGGGTGTTTGAGGAGAAGAAGAAGGAAATTGAGAAAAAAAATGAGGATTTGTTGCAAAATAAAGTTTTGGTTAAGAAAAGTGTTAAAAAGAATTTGATTATAAGCGCTCCGATTCAAGAATCGATTTTAAATGATGAGAAATTGTTGAAAATCGCGCAAGATGAGTCAATAAAAAGTCTTTCCCCGCCGAAAAAATCTTCGATGTTTGTTAAAATTAAATCGAAGCTTCCTAAAAAGATCGAAATTGAGAGGTGTTATGTTTATGATCATGATGAGGTCTCGGTTATTGATGGGAAGTCGATTAATAAGAACGATTCGATCCCTCCAACCGAAACTTTTAATACTTATTTGAAGAATAAGTTAGAAAATGAATTGGATACAAGAAAAAGCGTTGAGGTTCAAACCGATGAGAATTTGTTATCGAAAGGGATTGATTTAAAAAAGACTTTTTTAGACGATTTAAAAACTACGATTCATGAAGAAATCGATAAAAATGATGAATTTGAGGACCAAGTCAAAATAAAATCGTTAATTGAAAAATCGGGGCGATTAAACTCGTTAAAACGCAAAGAAGAACTCGAAATAATGTACCAGTTAATGCGCCCTTCAGAAAAATCGTCAAGGTCGGGTCAAGGTCAAATCACGAAGAGTGAAAAATTGGTTGAAAATGGTGTTAAAATTGAAGAAATTGAAGAAGATTTTAATAAAATGAATGTAAAAATTGACGTTTATGAAGAAAAAATCGAAAATGATGGTGTTAAAATTGAATTAATTAATGATGATGAACTAAAAATTGTTGATGAGGTGAAAAAAATCGGTTCAAAAAACGTGGAGAGTCCGATGGTCATGGGACCATCTTTTATTTTTAATTTTATTACTATCAAATCGATTTTAAACGAATTTTTAAACGAAGAAAGAAAATGTTCGAATCAAAATTTGATGTATCGCAAAAATTCGCCCCAAATCAATTATTCATCGTCGATTTTGTCGAAACGACGGACTCGAAATCTCCGAAAACCGACCGGAATCGATCTTGAATTCGATTTTGAGCCGGACGAAAACGATGTAAAATTGTCGAGGAATTCATCGTTTAAATCGACGATTTCCCAAGATTCGAACGAAGACGAAATTATCAAAAATATCTCCGCGAAATTAGACGATGACGAAGTTGAGGTGGTAAAAACGTTGCGGAGGAAATACAAGGTACGAGAGAGGCCTAAATCGGAGATTAACGAGGATGATTTGAAGTTGATTGAGGAGGCTAAAAAGAAATGTTTGAGTCCTGAGTATCAAGATGAGGAGGAGGTTTGGGGGAAAAACAATAAAAATGAATGTTTTGAAGAAAATTATGATGATTTCGGCGAAAAAATCGGTGAACTACCGGAAAATGTTAGTCAATTAGTGTGGGAATTTAATGAAATTAAAGGTTTTAAACGGGATGTTAATAAAGGAGATGAAAAGAGTCACTTTTATGATGAAAAAATCGGAAAACTACCGGTAACTGTCAATCAACTACCGGGAGAAATGACCGAAAACGAAAATTTTAAAGAAAAAGTAGTTGATAAAGGACGAAAAATCAAGAAATTTGAAGAAAATCGCGAAAAAATCCGCGAACTACCGCCATCTGTCAACCGACTACCGCAGCAAATGAAGGAAATTAAAGGTTTGAAACGAGATATTGATGATAAAGGAGATGAGTTTTATGATGATTTTGATGAAAAAATTGGAAAACTACCGCGAGATCTTGGCCGACTACCGGAAAATGTTAGTCAATTAGCGTGGAAATTTAATGAAATTGAAGGTTTTAAACGAGATGTTAATGATAAAGGAGATGAAAAGAGTCAGTTTTATGATGATTTGGATGAGAACCTCGAAAAAACCGGAAAACTACCGCAGAATGTCGGCCGACTACCGGAAAATGTTAGTCAACTACCGTGGGAAATTAATAAAATTGGAGGTTTTAAACGAGATATTGATGATAAAGGAGATGAAAAAAGTCACTTTTATGAGGATTTGGATGAAAACCTCGAAAAAATTGGAAAACTACCGCGGGATCTCGGCCGACTACCGGTAGCTGTCAACCAATTATCGCGACAAATTAATAAAAATGATAATTTTAATGATATTGTTGATAAAGGACAAGAAATTAACCAAATTGTCGAAAATCCCGCTGATTATTTAGAAAAAACTGGCGAACTACCGGAAAATGTTAGTCAACTACCGAGGGAAATTAATAAAATTGGAGGTCTTAAACGAGATGTTGATGATAAAGGAGATGAAAAGAGTCAGTTTTGTGATGATTTGGATGAAAAACTACCGCGGGATCTCGGCCGACTACCGGTAGCTGTCAACCAATTATCGCCACAAATGAATGAAAATGATATTTTTAATGATATTGTTAATAAAGGACAAGAAATCAACCAAATTGTCGAAAATCCCGCTGATTATTTAGAAAAAACCGGCGAACTACCGGAAACTGTTAGTCAACTACCGCAGCAAATGAAGGAGATTGAAGGTTTTAAACGAAATGTTGATGATAAAGGAGATGAAAAGAGTCACTATTGTGATGATTTGGATGAAAACCTCGAAAAAATTGGAAAACTACCGCAGAATGTCGGCCGACTACCGGTAGCTGTCAACCAATTATCGCGACAAACGAATAAAAATGATAATTTTAATGATATTGTTGATAAAGGACAAGAAATTAACCAAATTGTCGAAAATCCCGCTGATTATTTAGAAAAAACCGGCGAACTACCGGAAAATGTTAGTCAACTACCGTGGGAAATTAATAAAATTGGAGGTTTTAAACGAGATATTGATGATAAAGGAGATGAGAAGGGTCAGGTTTGTGATGATTTGGATGAAAACCTCGAAAAAACCGGAAAACTACCGCGGGATCTCGGCCGACTACCGGTAGCTGTCAACCAATTATCGCGACAAGTGAATGAAAATGATAATTTTAATGATATTGTTGATAAAGGACAGGAAATCAACCAAATTGTCGAAAATCCCGCTGATTATTTGGAAAAAACCTGCGAACTACCGGAAAATGTTAGTCAACTACCGTGGGAAATTAATAAAATTGGAGGTTTTAAACGAGATATTGATGATAAAGGAGATGAGAAGAGTAAGTTTTGTGATGATTTGGATGAAAACCTCGAAAAAATTGGAAAACTACCGCGGGATCTCGGTCGACTACCGGTAGCTGTCAACCAATTATCGCCACAAATTAATAAAAATGATAATTTTAATGATATTGTTGATAAAGGACAAGAAATCAACCAAATTGTCGAAAATCCCGCTGATTATTTGGAAAAAACCTGCGAACTACCGAAAACTGTTAGTCAACTACCGCAGCAAATGAAGGAGATTGAAGGTTTTAAACGAAATGTTGATGATAAAGGAGATGAAAAGAGTCAGTTTTGTGATGATTTGGATGAATACCTCGAAAAATTTGGAAAACTACCGCAAAATGTCGCCCGACTGCCGCCGAATGTCAACCGACTACCTCCGAATGTCAACCGACTACCGCGGCAAATGAACGATAATGAGAATTTTATAAAAGATGTTCATAAAGAACAAGAAATTAACCAATTTCTCGAAAATCCCGATGATTATTTAGAAAAAACCGACGGACTACCGAAAATTGTTAGCCGACTACCGCAGCAAATGAAGAAGATTGAAGGGTTTAAACGAGATGAAAAGAGTCAGTGTTATAAGGATTTTGATGCGAACCTCGAAAAAACCGGGAAACTACCGCGGGATCTCGGCCGACTACCGGTAGCTGTCAATCAACTACCGGGACAAATGACCGAAAACGAAGATTTTAAAGAAAAAGTTGTAGATAAAGGACACGAAATCAACCAATTCTTCGAAAATCACGAAAAAATTCGCGAACTACCGATAGCTATCAACCGACTACCGCAGCAAATGAAGGAAATTGAAGGTTTTAAGCGAGATGTTGATGATAAAGGAGATGAAAAGAGTCAGTTTTATGAGGATTTGGATGAAAACACCGGGAAACTATCGCAGAATGTCGGCCGACTACCGGTAGCTGTCAACCAATTATCGCCACAAATGAATAAAAGTGATAATTTTAATGATATTGTTGATAAAGGACAAGAAATTAACCAAATTGTCGAAAATCCCGCTGATTATTTAGAAAAAACCTGCGAACTACCGCCAGTTGTCAATGAACTACCGCGGCAAATTGACGAAAATGAAAGTGTCAAACAAAAAACTCTTGATAAAGGAAACGAAAATAGCCAATTTCCCGATAATCGTGATGATTACCGCGAAGAAATCGGTAAACTACCGCAGGATCTTGGCCGACTACCGGAAAATGTTAGTCAACTATCGTCGGAAATTAATGATATTGAAGATTTTAAACGGGATCTTGATGATAAAGGAGGTGAAAAGAGTCAATTTTATGATGATTTTGATGAAAAAATCGAAAATACCGGGAAACTACCGCAGGATCTTGGCCGACTACCGGAAAATGTTAGTCAACTACCGTCGGAAATGAATGAAATTGAAGATTTTAAACGAGATCTTGATGATAAAGGAGGTGAAAAGAGTGAGTTTTATGATGATTTTGATGAAAAAATCGGAAAGCTACCGCGGAATGTCAATCGACTACCGGTGCAAAATAACGAAAATGAAAGTTTTAAACGGGGTGTTGATGATAAACGACAAGTAAGCAGCACATTTCATGATGATTCTGATGAGAATTTTGAAGAAACTGGAGAAGTACCGCCGGATCTCGGCCGACTACCGCCGGATGTCAATCAACTACCGCGGCAAATAAGCGAAATTAAAAATTTTGAATTAAAAATTGATAATAAAGAGGACGAAATGAAACAAAATCCACAAAAACATGATGATTATTTCGGAAAAGTGGGAAAACTACCGAAGGATTTTAGCCAACTACCGGGGGATATGGACAACAGTAAACAATCAAATGAATTTCTCGAAATTGATGTTGATTACCGTGGTAATATCGGTAAATCTGATCACAAAATTAATTTAGAACTTTACCAACCAAAACCGTATCAAAGAAGATCATTTGAAAACTTGAATTCAACGTGGAGAAATCAAAAAACCGGGGAAATCCTCGAAAAGAAGAAAGTTTCAAAACCAATTTCTCCGAATCGTTACAGTTTTCAACAAATTTCTTTAGATACGAGTAATTTTTACGAACCGATTTATGAGAATTTCTCAATTTTCCAACAAAAAAGACCAAATTCGGTAAATTTCGACTCAAATTTATCAAAAACGCCGGTTCCCCAACCGAGAAAAGATTTATCCAAAGATAACGAAAAAAACGATGTTGAAGTATTTGACGAGTTATCGTTGGAGAAAACGACATTTGACGATGTCAAATCGATCGAGAAAGATTTAATTCGAGAAGAATCTCGGAAAATGAGTGTTAATCAAGAAGAAAATGAGGGGAAATTCGATGTGGAAATGATCGATGATGATGACGATGATGGGATTGAGAAAAATGAAGAAATTAATACGAAAATGGACGAAATTAAAGTTGAGGCGAATACGAAAAGTGATGATGGAGATAAATTTGATCATTTAGACAATTTGTTGGAGAATTTGGAGAAATTAAAGGAGATGAGGAGAAAGGCTAAAAAGGATCAAGAAATTGTTGAGGAAAATTTAAGTGAAAATATCGAAAATAAAATTGAAGAGCCCCCCAAAACTGAAGTAGTAATGTTAAGAAAATCGGAAGAAAAAATATTAACCCCCCCGGTGAAAGAAATTCGCGCATCAAAATCCCCAAGCAAAAACATAACCAAAGACAGGGTGTCACTGTTGCGTCAAAAATTTGAAGGAAAATCCGATGACAACGACTCCAATTCAGATAAACATCAAAAAGAAAAGGTTATTTTAAATAAATTTGAATCGAATTCGACAAAACTTTTGAATCACGCGAAAAATGACCCGAATATCGTTTGTGCTAATTCTCAGTCGATTGACCCAAATTTAGAGGCGAAAAACTACGAGAGTTTAGAAAATTTAAGGAACTCCTCGCGAATTAATTTTGAAAGCGCTCGAAATGTTTTCGAAGGAAACGATAAAAATAAATGATTAAGATAAATTTGTAATAAAAAGTTAATTTTTTTTGGTGCATTTTCTTAAATTTGGTTTGAAATGAGCCCAAACACGACGTGGTTAACTTTTAAANGTTTGGGATTATTTTAAAGAAAATTTAATGGAGATTAAGAATTTTGATGAAAAAACTTTAAATTTTGAAAACCGGAAGTACTCGTTTTTTTTTAATTTTCGATTTTTATCGATGCCAATGCATTAAGGATGAAAAATCGTTTAAAATGAGCCCAAAACATCACCTATTTATCTTTAAAAATACCATTTGTATTAAAATTAACCAAAAATGTCAAATGTCAACTGTCAAAATAATTTTATTTTAACATTTTGATGATAATATGGTCGTGTTTGGGCTTATTTTAAAGAAAATTTAATGGAGATTAAGAATTTTGATGAAAAAACTTTAAATTTTGAAAACCGGAAGTACTCGTTTTTTTTTAATTTTCGATTTTTATCGATGCCAATGCATTAAGGATGAAAAATCGTTTAAAATGAGCCCAAAACATCACCTATTTATCTTTAAAAATACCATTTGTATTAAAATTAACCAAAAATGTCAAATGTCAACTGTCAAAATAATTTTATTTTAACATTTTGATGATAATATGGTCGTGTTTGGGCTTATTTTAAAGAAAATTTAATGGAGATTAAGAATTTTGATGAAAAAACTTTAAATTTTGAAAACCGGAAGTACTCGTTTTTTTTTAATTTTCGATTTTTATCGATGCCAATGCATTAAGGATGAAAAATCGTTTAAAATGAGCCCAAAACATCACCTATTTATCTTTAAAAATACCATTTGTATTAAAATTAACCAAAAATGTCAAATGTCAACTGTCAAAATAATTTTATTTTAACATTTTGATGATAATATGGTCGTGTTTGGGCTTATTTTAAAGAAAATTTAATGGAGATTAAGAATTTTGATGAAAAAACTTTAAATTTTGAAAACCGGAAGTACTCGTTTTTTTTTAATTTTCGATTTTTATCGATGCCAATGCATTAAGGATGAAAAATCGTTTAAAATGAGCCCAAAACATCACCTATTTATCTTTAAAAATACCATTTGTATTAAAATTAACCAAAAATGTCAAATGTCAACTGTCAAAATAATTTTATTTTAACATTTTGATGATAATATGGTCGTGTTTGGGCTTATTTTAAAGAAAATTTAATGGAGATTAAGAATTTTGATGAAAAAACTTTAAATTTTGAAAACCGGAAGTACTCGTTTTTTTTTAATTTTCGATTTTTATCGATGCCAATGCATTAAGGATGAAAAATCGTTTAAAATGAGCCCAAAACATCACCTATTTATCTTTAAAAATACCATTTGTATTAAAATTAACCAAAAATGTCAAATGTCAACTGTCAAAATAATTTTATTTTAACATTTTGATGATAATATGGTCGTGTTTGGGCTTATTTTAAAGAAAATTTAATGGAGATTAAGAATTTTGATGAAAAAACTTTAAATTTTGAAAACCGGAAGTACTCGTTTTTTTTTAATTTTCGATTTTTATCGATGCCAATGCATTAAGGATGAAAAATCGTTTAAAATGAGCCCAAAACATCACCTATTTATCTTTAAAAATACCATTTGTATTAAAATTAACCAAAAATGTCAAATGTCAACTGTCAAAATAATTTTATTTTAACATTTTGATGATAATATGGTCGTGTTTGGGCTTATTTTAAAGAAAATTTAATGGAGATTAAGAATTTTGATGAAAAAACTTTAAATTTTGAAAACCGGAAGTACTCGTTTTTTTTTAATTTTCGATTTTTATCGATGCCAATGCATTAAGGATGAAAAATCGTTTAAAATGAGCCCAAAACATCACCTATTTATCTTTAAAAATACCATTTGTATTAAAATTAACCAAAAATGTCAAATGTCAACTGTCAAAATAATTTTATTTTAACATTTTGATGATAATATGGTCGTGTTTGGGCTTATTTTAAAGAAAATTTAATGGAGATTAAGAATTTTGATGAAAAAACTTTAAATTTTGAAAACCGGAAGTACTCGTTTTTTTTTAATTTTCGATTTTTATCGATGCCAATGCATTAAGGATGAAAAATCGTTTAAAATGAGCCCAAAACATCACCTATTTATCTTTAAAAATACCATTTGTATTAAAATTAACCAAAAATGTCAAATGTCAACTGTCAAAATAATTTTATTTTAACATTTTGATGATAATATGGTCGTGTTTGGGCTTATTTTAAAGAAAATTTAATGGAGATTAAGAATTTTGATGAAAAAACTTTAAATTTTGAAAACCGGAAGTACTCATTTTTTTTCAATTTTCGACTCTTATCGATGGCAATGCATCAAGGATGAAGAATCCTTTAAAATGAGCCCAAACACGACCTATTTATCTTTAAAACCACAATTTTTATTAAAATTAACCCAAAATGTCAAACGTCAACTGTCAAAATAATTTTATTTTAACATTTTGCTGATAATATGGTTGTGTTTGGGCTTATTTTTAAGAAAATTTAATGGAGATTAAGAATTTTGATGAAAAAACGTTAAATTTTGAAAACCGGAAGTACTAGTTTTTTTTTAATTTTCGATTTTTATCGATGTCAATGCATTAAGGATGAAAAATCCTTTACAATGAGCCCAAACACGACTTATTTATCTTTAAAACCACAATTTTTATTAAAATTAACCTAAAATGTCAAACGTCAACTGTCAAAATAATTTTATTTTAACATTTTGATGGTAATGTGGTCGTGTTTGGGCTTATTTTAAAGAAAATTTAATGGAGATTAAGAATTTTGATGAAAAAACTTTAAATTTAGAAAACCGGAAGTACTAGCTTTTTTTTAATTTTCGATTTTTATCGATGTCAATGCATTAAGGATGAAAAATCCTTTAAAATGAGCCCAAACACGACCTATTTGTCTTTAAAAATACCATTTTTATTAAAATTAACCTAAAACGTCAAACGTCAACTGTCAAAATAATTTTATTTTAACATTTTGATGATAATATGGTCGTGTTAGGGCTTATTTTAAAGGAAATTTAATGGAGATTAAGAATTTTGATGAAAAAACTTTAAATTTAGAAAACCGGAAGTACTAGTTTTTTTTTAATTTCCGATTCTTATCGATGCCAATGCATTAAGGATGAAAGATCCTTTAAAATGAGCCCAAACACGACTTATTTATCTTTAAAAGCAAAATTTTTGTTAAAATTAACCTAAAATGTCAAACGTCAACTGTCAAAATAATTTTATTTTAACATTTTGATGATAATATGGTCGTGTTTGGGCTTATTTTAAATGAAATTTAATGGAGATTAAGAATTTTGATGAAAATACTTTAAATTTTGAAAACCGGAAGTACTAGTTTTTTTTTAATTTTCGATTTTTATCGATGTCAATGCATTAAGGATGAAAAATCCTTTAAAATGAGCCCAAACACGACCTATTTATCTTTAAAATCACAATTTTTATTAAAATTAACCTAAAATGTCAAACGTCAACTGTCAAAATAATTTTATTTTAATCATATCTTGGTTGTTTTTGAAGATAATTTAGTCGTGTTTGGGTTTATTTTAAAGGAAATTTAATGGAGATTAAGAATTTTGATGAAATTTTTTTAAATTTCATTTTTTTTTTCTTAACCAGTTTATTAAGCGTAAAAAATCCTTTAAAATGAATCCAAACACGGCCTATAAATCTTTAACACCAACTTTTAACATAACCTAAAAATGTCAAATGTCACCTGTCAAAATTTTTTTGTTATAATGATATCTCCGTTGTTTTTTAAGATAATCTAATCGTGTTTGGACTCATTTTAAAGCATTTTTCACGTAGATTACGAATTTTAATTAAAATATAATTTTTTTTTTTCAATTTTAGTTGACGAACTTCAAACTCGTCGACAAAAAGCCTATTTAACCCGCCAAAATCATCAAATAAACCGCCAAAGTGTTAAATCATTAATAGAAACGATCGAGAACGCGAACGCGAAAAAACCACTGACTTCAACCTTAATAGATGACTCAAAAAGCAGTTCTACGAATTCCTTGGACTCGATCGAAACCGAAAACAGTGATTCGACGTCGATTTTGAGTCAAAACGAGCAACAGCAAATCGAAAAGAATTTAATCGTGGTTCAAAATTTGAATTTAAACAACCAAAATCAGCAGAAAATTCAGAAAACTTTGAGGAATTCTTACTCGGATTTGAGCGAACGGAAGGATCCGTTAAATGGTTTGATTAAAAATGGCGGTTCGAAAAGGAATGCGTTGTTGAAATGGGTGCAAACGAAAACATTTGGATTTAAGAACATCGAAATTACGAATTTTAGTAGTTCGTGGAACGACGGTTTGGCGCTGTGCGCTTTATTATCGACTTATTTACCGGATATGATCGTTTACGAGGAGCTCCAACCGAAAGATAAGAAGAAAAATTTTAATTTAGCTTTTAAAGCTGCGGAAAGCGTTGGGATTCCAACAACTTTGGTGAGAATTTTTTTTTTTGTGGTTTATTTAAATTAATTTTGATTTTTTTAAAGAATATTAACGATATGGTCCAATTGGAACGTCCAGATTGGCAACAAGTTATGAGTTACGTCACAGCTATTTATAAACATTTTGAGACTTAATTAATTTAAGATTTTAATCGATTCCATCGTTTAGAGAATTAAAAATCCTTTATTTTGAGCCCAAACACCGTGTTATTATCTTTAAAAACAAGCGAGATGTGGTTATTCAAAAATTATTTTGACAGTTGACATTTGACGTTTTAATTGACATCTTGGTTATTTTTTAAGATAATTATATGGTGTTTGGGCTCATTTTAAAGGGATTTTAATGAAGATTATGAATTTGTTTAAAAAAATAGGACTCGATTAAGTTTATTTTTATTTAACGATATAAAGTTAAGATTTTTTTGTTTTTTTTTTTTTTTTTATAGCGAGTAAGTTTGAGATAATATTCTGTGATATAAATGAGAAAAAAAGATTTTTTGAGGCTTTTAACAACATTTCGGAAGCTTTTACGAAGTTTTTGAAACTTTTTGACGAGGTTTTCGCGCAAAATGTATTATTAAAAAAAACCGTTACATTATTTTTTCTTTTGGTGTCGCAATTTCTTGTGTAATCGAGAAATTACGCACCGAAAACGTTGATTAGAATCGATAATTAATAATTTTTGTTATTTAAATAAATAAAAACATGGTTGTATCATTAATACATTTTTTTTTAATCTCAATCTTTTTATTTACACGATTTTATCTCAATTTTGAAGGATTGGACCTCCAGGTTGAGGCCCATATCCACCATAAGGTTGTTGATAAACCGGAGCTTGTTGCATCCCAGCATAACCCATTTCCGGATATTGTGGCGGCATCTGACCACCAGGAACCGCCGGATTAGATTCACTCGCCCCCGCAGACGTCCTAATCGTAGCCTTAGCCCACATCGATGTTTGAGTTATCCCGCTTACCACTTAAAATAAATTATTAAACAAAATCTCCGTCAAATTCCGGTTAAAAAGAGCCCAAACACTCCATATTTATCTTTAATAACAACCGAGATAACCCAAAATTTCATTAAAAAACAAACGACGATCGATATTTTTAAAATAATCGTATCTCGGTTGTTTTTGAAGTTATATATGGCATGTTTGGACTCGTTTTGATCGTTTTTTGATGTAGATTATAAATTTTAACAAAAAAATATAATAATAATATATATAAAAATCCCCGAGATCACTTCAAATCGATTTTTTTAATTAATTCTTAATCTCCATTAAATTCCGGTTAAAATGAGCCCAAACACTAAATATTTATCTTTAAAAACAACCGAGATAACCCAAAATTTCATAAAAAAAACAATCGACGATCGTTATTTTTAAAATAATCGTATCTTGGTTGTTCTTAAAGATACATATGGCGTGTTTGGACTCATTTTGATCGTTTTTTGATGTAGATTATAAATTTTAACAAAAAATATAATAATAACATATATAAAAATCCCCGGGATCACTTCAAATCGATTTTTTTAATTAATTCTTAATCTCCATTAAATTCCGGTTAAAATGAGCCCAAACACTCCATATTTATCTTTAAAAACAACCGAGATAACCCAAAATTTCCAAAAAAAACAATCGACGATCGCTATTTTTAAAATAACCGTATCTCGCTTGTTTTTAAAGATACATATGGCGTGTTTGGGCTCATTTTAATCGTTTTTTGATGTAGATTACGAATTTTAACAAAAAATATAATAATAATATATATAAAAATCCCCGGGATTACTTCAAATCGATTTTTTTAATTAATTTGAAATCTCCATCAAATTCCCATTAAAACGAGCCCAAACACTCCATATTTATCTTTAAAAACAACCGAGATAACCCAAAATTTCATTAAAAAAACAATCGACGATCGCTATTTTTAAAATAATCGTATCTCGGTTGTTTTTAAAGATAAATATGGCGTGTTTGGGCTCATTTTAATCGATTTTTGATGTAGATTACAAAGAAAATCATTAAATTCTTACACGGATCCGGATGATTCGAACAAATAACGATCCTATTAAACTTAATTTGGGTCAATTTCGGGAGAACATCTTGGTACGGAAATTTAACGGACCATTTTATTGCTTCGCCGTGGAATATCTCGTCTTGACTCGATAACACGTTCAATTTGATGTTATCGCTTTGAGCCACCGCTTTATTTATGGTCATATTCACTTCAACGTCGAATTCGGTGTCTAATCGACTTTTTGGGGTTATGATAAGCCCGTAGTATCCGCCCAAACTCGGATCGTGTTGATAACTAAACAAGTTAGGGCAAGAAATAACCGGAAATTGAGACGCTCCGTAATTATTATTCCCTGGATATCCTAAAAAATGATTTTGAGTTTGAGTTAAGTTTTTTAATTGAAATATTTACCACCAGGGGGTGCGTATGGGTTAAAACCGCCACCTTGCGGAGGCATTGGCTGATTTATATAGGCATTTTGGTCGATTTGGGCAAAAATTAATTGGAAAATGTTGAAAATTAATAAAATTAGG